ATCTTTTTGAAAATTTACGTAAGATATTGAAAATTCAAATAACTTTCCATATTAAATCTTTAAAATAATAAAACTATTAAAAGAATTATATTCATCTCAACTTTAATTATCAAATTTATATTTCAAATATATGCAAAAAATTGGATTTCATCTTTATCACTTATTATATCCCTTTAAATTTTTTTAAAAAAATTAATGTGAAAATTACTTATTCAATTTTAATTGTCACTTAATAATTTTTTTTTTACAAATATAAGACTATAAGTACAATTTGTTATATCAATTTTTTTATTTTTTTGGTTTGCAACTTTTTTCAAGTTATATTCTATTACTATTATAATTTTTTTTGTTTAAAACTTTTTTTCAAGATATAGTTTATCACTATTGTAATTTATATCTTATGAAAAATAATATTTTTTCAATTTATTTTTTTCACATATTTGTTAATATTTCTTATATTTTGTATAGTAATTTGGTCAAAATTACAAAAGTGAAAGTATGTTAATGATTTTTATTATTTAATTTACATTCAATAATATATATGTTTTGATTTTTAAGGAAGACATAAATTTTTTTATTTGATATAATATTGTAGGTGTATAGATATTACTATAAATAAAATAATCTGAAGGACAAACATATCGTTTTTTTTTTTTTGTTTTTCTTAAAAAGTTTATTCTTAAAAACAAATTGATACAATAAATTTTACATATATAAATATTTGAATATAATTTTGAAAAAAAATAATTTATATATTTATATTAATAAACAAAATTATTTTTTGTATCACACGAATTTCAATCTAATAACTAGATATATTTCTTCGAACAACAAATCCCTAACCTTAGTGTTCTTTTCCCTTTTCAAGCGCCCTTTCCACACCCCTCCACCACCCGAGGCACTTTGGCTACTTGCCCTTAGTTTCTAAGGTATAATAATTTGTTATTTTGAAACTGCAAAAAGTGCAAAAGAATTTAACGTGTCATCAAGCAAGTTGATGTCCTTTACCCCTTTTTTAGCCCATCGTGGCTCTTGGCACATGGTTTTGGAGGTACTCCATTAGACATTCAAAGCTTTTATTCTACGTACTAATCCATCCCTTACCTTTTTAGATGATGGAGTTCTTAAAAAGTCTACAGTAATTAAATAACTTTACATCGTTTTGTAGCTTAACAGTAGCCTTTCGTTGAATTTTGATTAACTCAATAAATAGTTATATTAATATAAGAAGAAAAACCGAATAAAACTTTAATTTCCCATTATCTTTTTCTTGTATAAATGAATCAACTAGATTCATTGAATTGATAAATATTAGGTATTTTACTTGTAAAATTTAAATTTCATTTTTGCTATCAACAATTTTTTTATAAACTGGCTGAAGAATCTCTCCTTATCTAAATTTTTTAAAATAAAATTAAAAAAAAAAAGTGAAAAAACGGGTTGTCAGGGAAGTAGGGAACTCAAACAGCGCCTTCTGCCTCGGCAAATTAAAAGAACTTGATGGTAAAGGATTAAGTTTTTCATTGGATTAAAATATTTTTTGAAAGACGGATTGAAATATTCTGTTTGTTTTATGATTGAGAAATAACAGGAATGTTAATTTTAATCCGACTCTCAACTCTCACCATATTAAAATGAACATTTTATGATGGAAAGATAATGGGAACATTCCAATAGAATTCCCAAAGGAGCATTATTTGACTGCTGAAATTATCCAAATAACTTACCAGACAACGTGCCTTTAGCATGTCGGAGCACAGTAGGGCGGGCTGGCAAATTCAGTGCCACTTTTCTTTTTCTTTTTGACAAAGATGGATACAACGACTTGCATAGTATATCATTTGAAAAAGTTCATAAATTAATTAATAATTTATAGCAATAAATTGTTATCACAGTGGACTAAATGAAATAAGGTTATTAATATTGTATTGGATAATATTGTGAGTTTTTCAAAAAAAAATTATATATCAGTATAAATTATTTTGATATATTATTTTAAATTTTTAATATAGTATAAATATATTTATAATATAATTTGATTTTACATAACAATACTATTAATAATATGTAACATAAATATGTAATATTTTTAAGTATCAAATAAATAAATTTAAAAGTATAAAAAATAATATGATCAATTTATCATGATATTTTTAAATATTTTTGTTCACATAGTTATTTAAATGGATTTTTTTTGCATAAGAATATATTAAAATAAAATAAATATAAAAAAGAAAATAATGTATTAAAATAAAAAAAAATTTTAACTTTAGAAGTCTAAAATCTTAAAGAGAGACCACAATTGCTTTTTTTTTTTTGTTTTTTGGAAGAGATTGCTTTGATTTTAAAAAACAAAGTGTAAAAATCGAGTTGCTCTAATAAAGATGTGGCTCAAGTTTAATTTTTAAGGATTTTATTTTGTTTTTTTAATTTTTATTACATTAAAAGTAATTAAAAAAAAAGTTACAAAATTATTAATCACGTTTCATAGTTATATACCTATAAAAAATGATTAATTTATGAAAGTCATTAAAATCAGTCACAATCAATAAAAATAATTATGATATTAAATTTGATATAAAAAAATCACTTTTAATTATATTTTAGTATAATTAAAGTGTATCTACCGATACAATCAATAACGAATCAAGACTAATAATATCTTGAGTCGAGATGCCAATAGCATTTCAAAGAAAACTATAAGTAATCAATTAATCAATTGGTGTTCAGCTTTTATATTTATTACATCAAGACAAAGTCAAAGCATTTTAAATAAAATTTAAAAAGGAATTTAATCATTTTGTTTTCACATTTATCATCTCAATGTGTTTTTCCCCTTTATTTTAAAATACGAGCACTAGAATTCAAACATACTAATTTTAGCTCAAGTGGTCTCAAAGTATGTTTTTATTGTTTCCTCCTTCTTATCCATACCATCTTTATTAATATCATGAATTTAACTTAACTTTATGATTTCTATTTAGGTATATAGTATGATGATTATTCCCAACCGAACTGTAAATTAGATATAAGAATTCATATATTTGTATTACTTTTGTTTTATATTTATCTTATATTATATAAATTATTATATTATAATTTTTATTAATACAATAAATATAAAATTTATATGTTTTTTTACTAAACTCATATTTGATTTTATCAAAATTTTAAATTATATTATTTTTATTTTTTTATATTTTTTATATCATATTATTAGTATCTAAAATTATCATGTGCATAAAATTAAATGTTGCTCTTTTAATTTTATCACCGAAGCTCTGACCTTTTTTCATCCTTATCTACTTATAATTGGTTAAAGTAAGAAAGGCCTAGTAGTAGTAATGGTAGTAACTTTTCTAATAGTACTTAAGGCAGAAAAAGGAGTTTACTTTTACCAGGATATTAAAAAAAGGTACAAAACCTGGGCTACAAGTAAATTCACTTGATCCCCAAGGTTTGACAGGAGAAATTTCTGTTTGCACCTCCTAAAACTTTGTTCCTACTCAGATATTGAATACACTCAAAATTTAAAATTAAGTTTTTGCCCCTTACACTTCATCCCAACATTTTATCTTTCCATTGATACCCTTTACACTCATTCAATTCATTTTTCTTTCTTTTTCATTCTCTCTTCTTCAAACTTTCCACTCTAAACTCATCTTAAATTTAATCCAAAACCATCAATCAAAATTTCAAATCATAAGTTTTTACTATTTCATCTATGCAAGATAAGATTGAGTTGATTATTTTTAGTTTAGGGTTTATGATAAATCTAAGTTTGTAATTTTTTTTCGTGAAATAGTATATTACACAAATGAATTCTTATAAATTTTAAAAAATTTATGAATTTGTATTTTTATAAGTTTTGATTTTCTTAAATCTTTCAAAACTTATGGAAATAGATTTATGTAAGTTTTAAAAGACTTACAAGAATTCAAATTAAAAAATTTTATAAGATTTATGTATGAAAATCTATTTTCATAAGTTCAAAATTAAAATCAATATCCATTTAAATAATATTCAAATACTGATAAAAATTAGCTATTCTTCATTACTATCGATTTTGTTTTTTATTTAACTATCTATTTGTATAAGATAAAAATAGTAATTATTTTAATGATTTTTGGTTTTTATAGAAATTGGGGGTTTGTGATAAAAGAAAAGAGAAAAGGAAGAAATAAGAAGAAAGAACTAGAAAAAGTGTCGAAGGTTAAAAATGTAATTTAGTAAAAGCATAAATAAGTTATTTCACTTGAAAGGATAATTTTGTAATAAAAATTTGGTGATGTATAGAGCATTATTTAGGATGGGTTTGGAACCACTCTTGGACAGGATATAAATATGGTCATAACATGCGAAGAATGTAAGATCAACAGAATTTTGTTGAAAACCAAACCCGATTTCATTCGGTTAACTTGTATACAAAGTTTGAGTTTGAATTCAGTGTATAAGCTTAAGCATATCTTCTCTACAAAGCTTAATCTTAGATTATATTCAAATTACATTTAAACGCCTTTGATCAGGCAAGGTTATTAGCTGAATTCTAGAAATCTGGACTGCAGTTCCTGCTGTTGCTTGTCTTGATCCTGTCATGATGTTGCTGCCGGTGAGCTGCTGCTGTTGCTTCTTGTTTTGATTATGTTTGTGATGATGCTGCTAATTTTGTTTCTTGAATAGGTTCTGCTGAGTTGATTAACAGAGTTCTGCTACTGGTCTTTGGTGATTTTCAGTTGCTTCTGAGTTTGATTAAGCTTAATAATTAAAGAATTAAAGAAGAGTAGAAAGGGAAAGCTGGCCCTGGGGCAGCAGCTGATAAAATAATAAAAGCTCGCCAGGTCTTTACCATTTTGCTCATCAAAGCCAAAATTAAACCGAAAATATAAAAAATAAAGAAAACCGAACCCATCCTTTACTTTTACCTCTACTAGATCTCCTCACAAAGCAGCCTTTCTCTTCCTACCATATCCTTCCTGTTAATTTCTTTTCTTTAATCTTTCATGGATAACTACGAAGAGTTACCAAGGAAACACATTAATTATGTTGTTAATGGCAAAGTAATGCTCTGCGCAGGAATCTTTCTCTTCATGGCATTACTTATTATACTCTGCTTCCACAAGTACGCTCCTATACTCTTCCGCAACAGCCGTCGTGCTCAGCACTTGCCCTCCATTGCCACTGCCACTCCTCCAACAACCGTTGCTTCCAAAGGTTTGGATCTTTCTGTCATTAAAACAATCCCTACTTTTTTTTACTCCACCAAAGCCAGCCATTTACCTCCACTCGAATGCGCCGTTTGCTTGTCTGAGTTCGAGAACGACGAGAAAGCCCGCGTTTTGCCCATGTGTAATCACACCTTCCACGTTGACTGCATCGACATGTGGTTTTATAGTCACTCTAACTGTCCACTGTGTAGAGCTCCTGTACGAGCTGATATTCCGGTCAACCCACCTACAATATTAGAGCAGACCGTTGTTGCAGTGGCTGAATCAGTCGGTTCAGAGACTTCTATTGAAACGAACAGCTCTCCCGTTTCTTCTTCTTCTTCGTCATTACCGTCGCCATTAATGCTGGAGAGTTGCCCCATGAAAGCACTAGAGTTACTGGAAGTGGGAATTCTTGTGGAGGTCCCCACGGGAGAACACAGATAAACGGGTGTTGTGGATGTGGGTTCGGGTTCGGGTTCGGGTAAGCGGATTATGAGTGTGAAGAGGATTTGAAGCGTATAATAGTAGCAGTAAAATCTAGAATGTATTTGCTCTGGGAAGAGAGGAAAAGAAAGAAACCATAATTTCCGTTTGCCAAGGCAGAGTTCTTGAAAGACACCGGATTTTGATTTTGAAAACGTGGCAATCATTCATTACATAGCTCGAGCAAACTCTTGCTCTGAATCTGTAACACTTTTGTTTGAAGTTCATGGCGCACAGCTCAATCATGCTGAAAATGAATGGATGAATTACTTTGACTGAAAATTTTCCTAATCTAAAGAGTGAATTTTCAGATGTAACTGTAAATAGTAATTCTCCTTAATTTTAGATAATTAAAAAGTTAAATAGAAGTTTTACGTAATTATGTTTTACTTTTATTATAGATAATGATAAAATAAAAAAAATTGTAAGATTTTGGCTTTGAGATTAAAATATTTTTATTTGGTGTAAGAATTCACCTGCTAATTAATTTCAAATTCTCAACTCAAGTTTTATGACATGAAAAATGATTATTAAACTATATATAATCTCAAAGGATTTGTATTAAATATAAATCCTTTTTAATCATTGATACTGTATAAGCTAGGAGAGAAAGAAGAAAGAAAAAAAAGTGATAATAAGAAATTATTTTCTTTTTACCATTTCCTTCAGAGTGCGAAAAAAATGACTGGATTTGTCACCTTTTCCTTTTTTTTTTTTGTAAATTCAGTTTTTTTTTATTTGGTCAAAAGGAAAAACTTAATTTTTTTTAAATACGAAAAAAATTCATTCAATTTAAATTAGTAGTTTTATTATAATTTTATCTTTAATTTTTTTTTTAATTTTTCATCACTCATACCAAATACAATAAAAAAAAAAAAAATTTCTTTCTCTCATTCTCTTTTCTTTTCTCATATTTTTTGCATATATGTAATATGTTGAGACTAGATTTAAGTCTTTTAAAAAGCAACGTGCGAATTGCCCTTAGCATTTTAGGGAACTTAGGGTGATATTTAAATTGTACAGCAGCTTTCCTGTTTTGATGGATGGATTTTAGGTTTGACGTTAATATCTAGATATTTGCTATACTGGTATGGAAGGTGTTTTTCTTTTATGTCCTTATTATGTAATAATGAAAAATCACTGGCACACGAGGTTCGGAGGAAGGCATGTGGGCATGTGGCTAAGAGGCTAGTAGCTAAGGAGGTTACGAGGAATGCATGCGGGGGTTTGGTTCCAACCCTATCATTTTTTAAAGGTTTTGCCTTCTGATGGACTAAAAAAAAAAAAAATCATTAGGATAATTACCAATGATGGTAACGGATCGGATCGAGGTTAGTTTTACTCGTTTCGAATTTAATTTGATTTTAAATATACAAAATTCGATCCCTACTTGATAAAATTTTTTTATTTTTTATATTCAAACTCGATTCGATTTGATATTGTATAAAATTGTACTCAATCCAATTTGACTCAAAATTAATAAAATATTATTTTTAATATAAATATAAAATTAAATATATATAAATAAATATATAAATAAATAATTAAAAAAAGTAATTTATATATATATAGGGTCAAGTAGGATCGAGTTTGTCTAAAATCCTATCCTGAATTTTTTTATACCACCTGATCCGATCCGATATTCGATTTAAAAAAAAAAAAATTAACCTTAAGAGGTCGGGTCGAAACCCGTCGATTTCGGGTCAGATTGCCTTCTCTAATAATTACAAAGGTATTTGCTATACATAATTTCAATTATAAATGCAACATATTAGAATGCGACAAATCCTTCGAAAAAAAAAATTCTCATATCACCTCATCGTATATACGAGAGGATCACATGTTAAAAAACAATAAATTAAAATATTAATAAAATGATTATAATAACAATAATAATAAATTAAATTTTATATTTCATAATTCTAGAATCAGTTAAATGAAATGTTAAAAAAAAAATGCATATTAGGTCATAATTTTAAATTTTTTTACTCACTAATTTCTATTAAAAATAATATTTTTATCTACTTTTTTAACACTTATATAATTGTTTATTGTTTGTATCTATATCTTTCGTAATCTACCTCTGAAAGTTTTAGTCTTTCCCAAATCTATAAACTTATTTTTCTTAATTGGTGCATAAATGCTAAACCTGGCAATTTGTGTTTTTGTGTTGTGTCTTGTATCGTGTTTGAAACATGCAATGATATGAATTATTAAAACATAATTACGACACGAATTATAAAATGTGTTTAAATCCTAAACACGAACACAATACATTTAATATATATGTTATATATAACATGACACAATTAATACATGTATAATTAATTCGTTAAAACACGATATAAATAAACACGAATAATATAGATATACATTAATAGATATAATTAATATGAATATACATGAATAGACACAACTAATATGAATATATACAAAAAACTTGACTAAAATAATAAATAATTATAAATTATCTATAATTTACAACTCAATAAAGTTGACATATTAATAATATAAAAAATTAATGACATATTAAAAAATAAAAAAAATTTAATACTCATTTAATATGTTTTTAATATATATTTAAATTTAAATTTATATTACATAACTATATTAATTTTTAGTATCAATTTCAAAATGATAAACTATTAAAGATTAAAAAATAAAATAATAATGTATAGGACTAATATTAATATTAATATTGTATTTATATTATTAATATAAAAAATAATTTTATAATAATTATTAAATGAGTATCATAATTAAATAATTAAAACAATTTTTATATGAAATTAAATAGCTAATTAAGTATCATAATTAAAAGATTAAAAATTAAAATAATCATTATATGTTTATATTAAATTAAAATAAATATAAAAAATATGTTAAATGTGTTAAATATATTAATATGTACTCGTATGATAAGATTAAATTAAACATAGTATTCATATCATATCACGTGTTTAGACAAGTCAACGCATATATCATAAGAATTATGTCGTATCAAAATTTATGTCGACGTGAATAAACATGAAAAATATTTTTTTAAAACACATGAATTTTTTCATATTGTTTTCATATTATGTTATCGTATCGTATATGAAATCACCAAGTCTAATAGATGCAAGTTTCTAAAGGTAGATCACAAAAGATGGTTTTATATCATGCCGATCAATTCTAATCCTTTTATTTATTTACGTGCTATGATGATACAAAAATTCTATTAAAATACCAAGTAATCAAGCAATCATGTAATATCATAAATATCATGCCAATATCATGTAATAAATATTAAATCATACTATACAAAAATTATCATGCAATAAATATAAAATCATATCATCCAATGTAATAATATCAATAATCATGCAATAGTATAAAATACTGTGCAAATAATATATTAATAATCATTCATGCAAATATATTAGTAAATTATAAAAATAATATATTAATAATTATGCACATTAATAACATGCAATAATCACATAAATATATTAGGTGATCATACAAATAAATATAATAATAATCATGCAATTACACATACAAGTATATTAGGTAATCATGCAAATAAATATATTAATAATCATGCAAGTAAATATATTAATAATCATGCAAATAAATATATAAATCATAAAATATTCATCATGCAATAATATAAAATATCATGCAAAATATAATATTAAAACATGCAATTATATTAAAAGTCAAGCAAATAATAATATATCATAAAAATATATTAATTATCATAAAACAACATGCATATATAATAATCGTACAAATAAAATATCATGCAAATAAATATAATCAAACAAATATAAAAATATAAAATCTTACCATCTTTTTTTTTCCTTTTCTTTTCATCATCACATTAATTCAATCAATAGTTAAATTAATAAAAACAAAAAATAGTATAAAAATAAAATCAAATAAAACAAAAAAATCAAATCAAATCAAATAGAAAAAAATCAAATAAAAATCAAAATGAAAAATAATAAAAAAAGAGAAAACCGACAATCCAGGTTAGGTTAAAGCAGGGTTAGTGCACAAATCTCAGACGGGTTGAAGCGCAGATCCTAGGTCCTATAAACAATGTATTTTTGCTCAGTATAAAAGGAAAAACCTTAATTTTTCTTAGAAATGCCAAACTCTTTCTCTATTTAGCATTAAAACACTTTGCCTTTTCTCTAGACTTTTCCTTAGAAAATTCAAACCAATGCAAAATCCGATAGAACTCCTAAAAATTGGCATTGAAAAATTTAAATGGCTCCAAAAAATTCAAAGAAAGCCCAAAACTAATAAACCACTGCCAAAATCCTTTAATCACCATGAAACTCACCAAGAAATTCAAACCTTCATTGGAAAAATCAAACTAAAACCCAAAAATTCAACTCAAACCTAAAAAAAACCTCAACTTTTCCTAGATATTCCTAGATTCCAAAATTTCAAACAATACCAAAAATTAAAACACAAACTCCAGAAGAATTCTAACAATCCCAAAAATAAAACCTTCCAAATTTCCAGAAACCAAAAAAACTCAGAAACTCAAAATTCTAAAATTGTTCCAAAACTAAATTGCAACTCCAAAATCCAAACTAGAAGCCCCCAAAAAATTTCAAAAACTAGAATCAAATTTTTAGAATTCAAGAACCAAAAGACCAAAAAAAAAAAATCTAGAATGCTTGAATTATTTCTACTTGCTTATGAATTTTTCTTATTACTTGTTATGTCCGTGTCTTTTGATTCATAAATTGAGGCTTTTTTTTTTATAGGATTTGAATCCCTTTAAACTTGAAAAAGGTTTAATTTTATAGAATCTAAGAGAAATCTCTAAGATTCATCTCTGTGTAATTTTTCCCCTTTTCATTGAATTGTGCCTCAAGTTTTCCAAAAATAATTCAGTCATTAAGTTTCACAAATTCAAAAATTGAATCCAAGGCAAATCAGAATCCAAAATCTCCTAGAAAACAATTCACACGTTTTTGTTTTATTTTGACTTTTTTCTTGCTTTTTCTTTTTTACTTTGACTTTGACCCAAAATTTAAAAAAAAATCAAAAAAATTTAAAACAAAATCAAAACTAAAATTAAGACTAAAATCAAAATTAAAATTAAAATCAAATTAAAATTAAAATTAAAATTAAGATAAGATTTTTGGGCTTGGGCCCAAAAATTTTTTTAAGACCCAATTCATGATCAAGGCCTGTTTCAATCTCGACA